CACCCAAAAACATTTTCTACACTACTATCCTACCAATGTCATGTAACCACAAGGCAACAATCAATACCACCTTTTCAACTCCATCTTTCTTTTACGTGGTCCAACGAAAAAGCTACAGTATCTATACTAAACCAAGCAATGACATATTTCTATGTACTTGCTCAGAAAAGGAGCTGTCATTCAAAAATTTCCAGAATGTTTCTAATATTCTTCTTTGAAGTTGGTTATTAACAGTTATTTTGTTTCAGCACACCTTTATCAGGAAGTTACAGAACTGACACTTAAGAATGATAACTTAAAAAAACTGCCAACAATATTTGAACATTTTAGTAAATTATAGTAATCATAAGACCAAATATTAAAGTCATTAAGAATAATCAGATTATTCAAGTGACACCAAAAATGTCCCAACAGTAGTCCAGCAGAACTCAATACAATTCTAAGTTTGTTTAAAAAAAAAAAAAAAAAGGCAAATTATATTCACACAAAAAACTTTAGAAGAAAAACCTTCAAAATATCAACAGTGACTAACCCTGAATGACTATTTTCCCTTTTTATGCTTTCTATAGATTATACTTTTCCTATAATAGACACAATGCTTTTATAGAGAAGAAAACGATAAATGGATATTTTCATAAAAGAACTATGGGCTATCAAAAGAAAGGGTACTAAAAGCTGTCAAGAGTATTCATTTCCGTTACAGGTAAAAATTAATGTGTACAGTTAACACCCTATTAGGGTAATAAAATGTCTCACTGCTCTTAGAGCTTCCACTAAGAAGAATCAATTCAAGAAGGCCACCATCTAAGAGAAAGAATAAACAGAATTTTAACTGCTTTGGGTTATATACATCAAAATTAAAACCCAGGTTCTATTTTTCCAATATAGAAATAACGGACATGAGCAATTTTAAATTGCTGCATAAATATGGCAGGAAGAAAGACCTGGAGTACAACACAAAAATTTGTTTAACGTGCAATTCTTGATAAATAAATCTGAATAAAACACATTAAAATGCCTATGTGACTATAAATTGAAGTGTTAATTTGCTTCTTCACAATATCTGGAAGAAACATAGATAGAAGGTATATAACAAATGCAATTTAAATAAGTATCTGTAACTCCTCACAGCATTCAAACACTTTCATATTTATTATCACATATCTTTCATATAAAATATCTCATGATCTCTCATACATATTGTAAGCAATCAGAAAGAAGCCATGTTTGATCACTGCTTCTGCACATAATTCATAATTTTAGGTAATAACATTTGAAGATAATAAAAATAACAAGAAGACTTTTTTATTTTTATTTATTTATTTGGAGCTACAGAGAGAGAGAGAGAGAGAGAGAGAGAGAGAGGGAGGGTCGGGGGGAAGGGCAGAGGGAGAGAGAGAATCTTAAGCAAGCTCCACGCCCATTGTGGAGCCCAATGTGGGGTTTGATCTCAGGACCCTGAGATCATGACCTGAGCAGAAATTAAGAGTCAGATGTTTAACCAACTGAACCACCCAGGCACCCTAGGAAGACTTTTTAAAAAATGAGTATAATTTTAGAACTATAACAATGTGTAGACCAGTAAAAGGGACAACTTAGTAAAAGTTTATCAGAAAATAGTGATCATTTTTCTACAATTACTTTATGTCAAAAAACATAACCACTTACATAGCTTTCATCTATACGTCATATAACACGAACTTTAAAAAATCCTAATTAACAGGCCACTGGCCTTCTATGTATCACTTATTCATTGAACCCTAAATTACTGAACAGAGATATGCAGCATAAAAAGATGAAGGACGACCATGCTAAAAAGTAAGAAAACAAATAACCCAATTTAAAAATGGACAAAAGACCTGAATGGGCACCACACCAAATAAAATAAACAGATGGCAAACAAGCTTATGAAAAGATGTTCCACATCATATGTCATTAGGGAATAGGAAACTAAAACAACATTAAGATAAGAGTACATACTTATTGGAATGGCTAAACTCTAAAAACCTGATAATACCAAATATCGGCAAGGATGTGTAACAACAGGAACTTTCATTCATTGCTACTGAGAGTGCAAAATGGTACACTCGCTCTGGAAGACAGTCTGGCAATTTCCTATAAAGCTAAGTGTAGCCTTACCATGTGATCTAGCAATGGTACTCCTAATTAGTTGAAAATTGAAAATTACACCCACACAAAAACCTGAGCACCAAGAGCAGCTTTATTCATAAGTGCCAATAACTAGAAAAAACAAAGATGCCCTTCAAAAAGTAAATGGATAAAATGGTACATCCAAACCATAGAATATTCAGTGATAAAAAAGAAATGAGTTATCAAGCCACAAAAAGACATGGAGGAAGCTTAAATGCATACTTAGTGAAAAAAGCCAGTCAAAAAAGTTACATATTGTGTGATTCCAATTATATGGTATTTGGGGGAAGGCAAAACTATAGGAGCAGAAAGATTGGTGGCTGCCAGTCTTGCCACAATGAATAGGTAGAGTTCAGAGGATTTTTAGGGCAGTAAAATTATTCTATATAACACCATAATGGTGGATACAGGACATTATGCATTTCTCAAAACTCACAGAACTGTACAATACAAAGAGTGAACAGTAATGTGAACTATGGACTTTAATTAATACTAATGTATCAGTATTAGCTCATCAACTGTAACAAGTACACTACAATTATGTAAGGTGTTAATAAAGGAGAAACCATAAGCTGGAGAAAGGGTGTATATGGGAACCCTGTACTATGTTTAATTTTCTGGAAATCTAAAACTTTCTAAAAAGACTGTTGTTCTACAATCTAAACATCGTTTTAAATGGTTAGTTGTTCGGGGAAAAGAATTTTTCATTACTGTTATTGCTGTTAAAGTATAGGATTCTGAGAAAAGATAGGAGGGCCTTGTAAATACAGAAGGGCAAGATTTCAAAAGGTTTTTGTATGTTGTACTAAGAATTTTATACTGAATCTTGTGATGTATGGGGAGTCATTAAATGTGAGTGACATAATAAGATCCAGGTTTTAGAAAGATAACTAGATTTCAAAAGGTTTTTGTATGTTGTACTAAGAATTTTATACTGAATCTTGTGATGTATGGGGAGTCATTAAATGTGAGTGACATAATAAGATCCAGGTTTTAGAAAGATAACTCTTGGTAATGACACTGATTTAGAGTGTGAGACTTAAAGAAATCCAGGAAAGTATTTAGGAAGCTATTACAATGTTTACAGTAATAGCAATAAAAATGGTAACAATTTTTACTGTGCACTTTTTATGTACTAAGTACTTTGTGCACTTGGTAATTAAACCTTAATAGGCCCTAATATCACTACCATATTATAAATGAGAAAATAAGGTACAGTGAGATTAAGCATCTCAAAGTTACATAAGCAAAGATATGCAGATAAGGAGCATGGCTCCATAAGGGGCTATACATGGTTCAGAATTACAGTGGTTTGGGTGTCAAAGGTTGAATGACAAGGGCTGTTGAAGGCTATAGCTAGATAAATATCTTCTACATTATGGTAACAAAGACTTCTTTTTGATTTATAAGCTACGAATTCCATGTGCTTCTCCCATTTATAGTTTTCTCCTCTATGAAATACTATACATCCACTCATTCAACATAATTTTTTGAGTACCTAATATGTGCCAGGTATTGTGGTAGGCTCTGTTTATACAATGATAACCTAAATAGCCCTGGTCATGTCAACATGGAGTGAAGAGTCAAAATTCATTTGCTCCCTTAAACTTTTAATAGACAAAATCATCTGGGTCCAATAAAAAGTACATTCTAGTACAGCACTTAGTATTTGGAAAGATTCATTCACTCACTTATTCCTTCCACAAACATTGAATAAGAATCTATTATGAACCAAGAACTGTTTTGGTTGTTAGTGATACAACAATGGGTAACAGAAAGCTCCTTGATTTCATGAAACCAACATTCTAGTGGGAGAGCAGGTAAGACAATAAACAAATACATAATATAAATTCTAACAGTGAAATGTTATTAAAAAATTAAACAGGTAAAAACAAAAACCAACCAACCATAGTGTTAGCAATGATATTTATTGATTAGGGCAAGTTAGGAAGGACCTGTCTGAGGTGTGACCTTCCAGCAGAGTCCTACAGGAAGCAAAAAAGCCCTAGTCAGGTAGCAAGGAAAATGTTCCAGGCTCTGGGAAAAACAAATGTGTATGTACAGCTGTAGCTTTAAGATAGTTATGTTTCCATTGATTAAAAGCTTTTCCAAATAGAGCAGAGATTTAATGTCATATACCCTTTGATTTGTTCTGAAAGTATTTGCTTGGTCCACTCTATACATGACACAATAAAAAAGCAATCATTAAAAAGAAAATGGATGGTCTCAATCCCAGATAGCCTAAAACCTGAATTTTTTTTTTAAGATTTTATTTATTTATTTGACACACAGAGATCAGAAGTAGGCAGAGAGGCGGGCGGAGAGAGAGAGGGGGGAGGGAAGCAGGCCCCCCGATGCGGGGCTCAATCCCAGGACCCTGAGATCATGACCTGAGCCGAAGGCAGAGGCTTTAACCCACTGAGCCATCCAGCCGCCCCTCAAACCTGAATTTAAGTAGAGAAAAACATTACAGGAAGAATGCTATATTCTCTCTTCCCACTCCTCCCCTTATACAAGAGACAATCACAAGTGCATCTGGCTACTATTCATTCATGGTACACAGGTGCTTGTTGATCTTTACTAGGTTTCTGAGGATGGTCCCAAATTTATTTTGTATGGCATCTATCTAGATCCTCAATCTAGGAAATATGCTCATTATTCCTCGAGGAAAAGTAGGAACTGAACGGGCCTGACCTAACCAGTGGGAATATGATGGGTGCCTCAATTAGAGCCCGAGGGTCCTGGCTAGGAGACTGTGGCAAAGATGTCAGAAGTAGGCCAAGGAAAGGGAGCCTGCCAGGGGCAAGTGCTTTCTAATAGCGCAATCTGGTCGTACCTCTGGATCTTACCTTCACTGAGATTCCGACCCGACAGGTTTAACTGGCCGCTCTTCCTCGCTGCCTTTAACAGCCCCTGAGGTACTGAAACATCGACCTCTCTCCTCTCAGCTCTAAAACCCGCTCGGGTATTCCTCTCCGCCACTCCCTTCAGGCGCGACATGTTCAAACCTTTGAGTCCAGAAGCAGAGCGCCGCACGTGACGTTTAAAGGTGGCGCCGGCGTGCTACCCCGCCCCTGCCGTGAGCGCGCGCCGTGCGCTGTGCTCGTGGCCTTGAGCGGGGCCTTCGCTCTTGGCGGCGCGGCCCCGATGTCGTCACCGCCAGTGCCTGGGGTGGAGGGTAGAGGAGCCCTTCCCGTTGCCGGTGCCGGCCTTGTGTCTTGCAATTACTTCGCTCAAGTAAGTGCGTTTAACGGGCTGAAGAGGGGCTCTGAGGGTTTATTGTTTGTACTATTATTGCAACTCCAACCTTCTCTTCTGCGCTCCCGCCTTGACGAGGGTGTCAGGGAAGGGTAACCTTCTCTCCTCGCTTGGCCAGAACGTGGGCCTTGACTAAAACTTGAGACCTGGGCGCGGTCTGAAGCCTCTCTGGACCCTAGTGTGTATTTGTCGCTTCTGGAGGTGGCGCCGGGACCTTCGTCCGGCGTAACAAATAAAACAGATTTCGGTTCTTGGCGCGTACACCCAGACTCCTAGAATTAGTTCGCCTTGCCTGCTGTTGTATTTAGTTTATAGTCCAGCATAGGAGGTAGTGTGAAATGGAAGGGCTGGCATCAGAGAAAGAAAGCTTAATGATGAATGTTATCTCCACTAGACAGTTTACAGAGACAAGTGGAGATGCAAACTTTGGTGTAGCGAAAACAGCTTGGACTTTGAAACCCAAATGTGAGTTCGAATTCCAGCTGCTTCTGTATCTGACCAGCCATGTGACTAACTTTAGGAGTTTATTCGGCCGTTTTTAAAGCTTACTTCTTTTTCGTGAATTTGGGGTAATTCCTATCTCATTTGGTTTTTTGGTCTTGTTTTGTTTTAATAAGTGAAGATAGAGCTTTAAATATTGAGTGCTTCGTGAGGAAAGGGGCTCCAGGATAGAAAATGAAAATTTTGTTCAGTATGTCGGTTTTCCTGGATAGTTAGTTTCTGTCTGAAATGTACACCTGTATTGATTCATTCAACAAATAATTAGGAACTCATCATCTTCAGTACTGTGTTGAAGTGATTCTGTTTCAGAAGGCATATACCGGGAAATATCCTCCTAATCTTCCGTTAACTTGGGGATCAGTAGGGTAGGATGATGGCCCACTGACAAACTCAGCACAGAGTTTTGCCTGAATCCAGGTTCTTTATACCTGTAAAATTCAGTTTTTAACCCCCTCTCGTTTTTACTTCTTGGTTCTTTAGAGTTCTTTACACTAAAAACGAATAGCAGAAAAGTACCAGTAGTTACACTACCAAGCAAGAAGAGTGGGTTTTAATGCAAGGACCCTAGTTTTTGGAAGGCCACTAATAGGCCTCCTTCCCACCCCAAGTTTATCTTGACAGTAATGATTATTGCCACCTTCCTGAGCTGTAAGTGACAGCCGTAAGTGACAAGCTCCGTGCTGATAATACCTTAGCTATCTCTTATTCAGCACAATAACCAATTTTGCAGGTGAAAAAATTGAGGCTGAAAGGAATTAAGGAACTTGCTGAATGAAGGTCACAATTTTCTGTAAGTGGTTTAGGCAAGAATATGAACCTAGGTCTCCAAAGTCTTGTTAATCATGATTTACCTAGTGGCTCTTACTTCATCATTTTCAATGCCTTATTCCTAAAACCACTTTAAGGGACACTTCAGCTATGTTTAAAAAGAGGGTCTTTTTTGTTTTTTTTTAGAGAAAAAACTTTTCCTCTTTTGTAGGACGCAACAGCCTACCTTTGGAGGAGGAATTGCTCAAGTATAAAAGTTTACAGTAGCCACCTCTCCCCCATCATAGATTCTTTTTTTAGTTCAATATTTTTTTAAAATAACGTGCAAGGTATAATATTTTCATTTATTGTGCTTCTACTTGAAGATAAATATTTCGTATTGGCATGTAATTTTAGTAAACATTGCTGCATTTTGTGTAAGTGAAGCATAATTCTGTTTATTGGCAAAGGAATTCTGAAAATCCAAGTGACTGTATACTTGTGGTAAACTTCGATAGATACACACTGACATATATAAAAAATTTTACTAGTATATATCCATAGTACATTGCATATACCTGTGTAGCAAATACAGATTAAGCAACTTGAATTGAGCTTCTTTAATGAGAGAGTATAGTTATATATATTTATATTTATGGGACTTAACACTTTGTATCAATTTTATTACTTTAGGAAGAAGCAATTGCAAACAAAAAACCCAACCCTTTTTTAAGTTGAGCATAGCAAAAATATTTGCTTTTTAAAAAATGGATTTTTGAGGGGCGCCTGGGTGGCTCAATGGGTTAAGCCTCTGCCTTCGGCTCAGGTCATGATCTCAGGGTCCTGGGATCGAACCCTACATAGGGCTCTCTGCTCAGCAGGAAGCCTGCTTCCCCCGCCTCTCTCTCTCTCTCTGTGCCTGCCTCTCTACCTACTTGTGATCTCTGTCTGTCAAATAAATAAAATGTTTTAAAAAGATGGATTTTTGAAATAACATGAAATGGATGACTTCTGTGCAGTGACCGGAGTCTACTGTGTAACTACCTTTTGTAACAGAATTTGCCTAGCTACAATTTATTATATTCATTTTGTTAAAGTAGTGAAAGGTTTCCCTGGTCTATCTTCTTTGCCAAATAAAAAAAGAAAGCAAAAAAAGCAAAAAATATATGAGCCTAAGAATTACATCAGCCAAAAAATGCTGTTCGGTTTCATAACGGAAAAACTATTGTCAAAGTAAGATAGAGTGGCTTACCTCTACCATTACAATTTAATAAGACATTTTCAAACATGTCCATATTACTCTTAAGAACATTGCTATGTGGGGTACCTGGGTGGCTCAGTGGGTTAAGCCACTGCCTTCAGCTCAGGTCATGATCCCAGGGTCCTGGGATCAAGCCCCGCATCTGGCTCTCTGCTCAGCAAGGAGCCTGCTTCCCTTCCTCTCTATCTGCCTGCCTCTCTGCCTCCTTGTGATCTCTCTCTCTGTCAAAAAAAATAAAAATAATAATAATAATAATAATAATAAAATCTTTTAAAAAAAGGAACATTGCTACATGTTACATTTTTTTCAAAACTGAAAAGTACAGTTAGGATAGATTTATATAGGCAAATTGAGAAACTGTAGTAAAGAAAACTGGCATTAACTTGTGCAAAATTTTTAAGCACATTTATTTTAAAAATGTTATCAACTAATAGCAAAGTGAATTTGCTTTGCAGACATTTGTAGAAGTTTCATTTTGTGTAACTTAAATGTAGATGTAGCCTATTTTAAATTAGTATTATGTTTATCTTTCAGAATATTGCCTAATCAGTGGGAACTGCTATTTTATGATAGTTATTTATTGAGAGAACATTCATTTTTTAACACTGTCATTATTAATTGGCATTGTTGAACCTAACCTTGCTTATTAATGTTTTTTTGAGTTGAATTTTTTACATTGTCATATACTTACTATTCAAAGTTTTCTCTATGTTTGTCCTTATATCAATAAGTTGTTTTAAGTGATTAAAATCGAGAGTAAAATTATGTCGGATAGGGCTCTTCATGTTTTAAATATTCAACTTTTCAGGTATTTGTTACATGTCTTTTAGTTTCCTTTAAAAATTTCATTTGCAGTTTCACATGTTTTTCATTCATGCTCTAACTACCAACTTTTAAAAGTAGTCAGTAGGAAACATTCTATACTATTTCATTGAAGGCAGTACATACTTTGCATTTTATTCAGTTTCAAATGTAGCTTTGAATTTTGTTGTTAGTATGTGATACTTTTTCTGATGGAGTGCATTTTATTTTAGAATAATTATTTGTATTTTTTTTGCATGTTCCCTGTGCTTCTCTTTTTTACTTTTTTTTTTTAAGATTTATTTATTAGTGAGAAAGCACAGTTGGGAGAGGCAGGAAGAGGGAGAGAGAATCTCAAGCAGAGTCTGCGCTGAGTGGGGAACCCAACTTGCGCTGGATCTCTCATAACCCTGAGATCTTGACCTGAGCTGAAACCAAGAGTTGTAAGCTTAATCGATTGTGCCTCTTGTATTTACTTTTGTCATAAAGCAGTGAGCTTTCTCTAGGTAGTATAATATTTGATTCAAATGTTGGGTCTTATATTTCTCTGTGCTTTTAAGACAAAAGAATTCCAGTCCACCAGCTTTGGGAAAATAATCATTTTCATTTTCCTCTTGTGAAAAGGCTTCTATGAGGCACCTGGGTGGCCAGTCAGTTGAGCATCTGACTCTTGGTTTTGGCTCAGATCGTGATCTCAGGGTTGTGAGATCAAGCCCTGCATGTGATTCCATACAGAATCTGATTAAGACTTTTTCCAGGGGCACCGGGGTGGCTCAGTCGTTAAGCATCTGCCTTTGGCGCAGGTCATGATCTCAGGGTCCTGGGACTGAGCCCCTCATCCAGCTCTCTGCTCAGCAGGAAGCCTGCTTCTCCCTCTCCCCAGCTTCTGTTTCCTCTCCGTCTCTCTGTCAAATAAATAAATAAAATCTTAAAAAAAAGATTGCCTAGATGGCTCAGTCAGTTAAGTGTCTGTGTTGGGCTTAGGTCATGATCCCGGGGTCCTGAGATGGAGCCCCACATCAGGCTCTAGGCTCAGTGGGGAGACTACTTCTCCCTCTCCCTCTACTCCTCCCCATAGCACTTTCTCTCTCTTTCTCTCTCTCTCAAATAAATAAAATGTTAAAAAAAAAAAGACCTCTCTTTCCCTTCCCCCCCGTAAAATAAATAGATAAGTATTTTTTTAAATAAAAATAGAATAAAATAAAAAGTCTTCTACATGCTAGTGTTTATCCTCTGGAGAATAGTGGAGGAACTAGTTTAAAAACATATTTTAAAATCATAATTTAGTTTTATTTTTTGGTTTATTTTCTTTCCATTGAAGGAAAAAAAAGCTGAAATGGGTGGTTACAGAGTCATCTTTTTTGTCTTTAAATAAATGTTTATTGTCTTTTCTAAAATCATATGAGAATGTTTCCCACTATTCCCAGTGATT